TTGACAAACTATTTATTGTAAACAAATGAAAAATCCACTAATAGTCCATATTAATATTCCATATTAATATTCCATATTAATATTCCATATTAATATTCCATATTATAGGGCAAGGGTATTCAATTAAAACTCACTGAGGTCCAGTTACTAACATTTCCTCCTAGTAAAAGGTCCAAACAAAAGTCCAACTTTTGACTTTTATGGTCTTGCCCATTTTCACATTTTCACTGTTAACAAACTGCACTTTAAACAACTAGCTCCATAATTAAAAGTAGTTCCAAGCAAATAAATTTAGGGCCTTTATTTCAGATTAAAACAGAAAGCTCAGAATAAAATACATCTTAAAAAATGTGCAAACAGAGCACAATAAGCCTTTTTCTCTTAAACTGAAGAGGTCCATGCCTAAAGAATTGAAGGCTTACACTTAAAGTAACAAAAAAGTTAACATCTTTAAAAAACAGAAAACAATTTCAAAAGTGGCTCTTTTAGTATAAAAAAATGTAAACAGAGCAAATATTTTTCTCCTTTTTTTTTTTTTTTGCTTATAGAGGCACCAAAATAAAATTTTAAAGTTTTCAAGTAAAACACGTTCAGAAAACCATAAACAAAAATGGCTCTTTTAGGAACAAACTGAAAACAGAACATTCAACAACACCTTTTCTCTTTTGATTATTCTTTATTTTACTTTTGTTAATGAGAGAAATGGACATGGGATTGTCCGGCCAGTTAATTAAATTTTGATTAGTATGGAGTCAGAGCCAGTCTCATGTAGGATGCTGAGCATCATCAGTAACATCTGTAGACTCATCGATGGCCAAAGAGGTGCATGGTGCACTCTGAACAGCTGTTCCAGCTGTTCCAGCTGTTCCAGCTGTGCCAGCACATCATCTGCTAATATTTCAGATACAGATACAGATATAGTTCTAGAATTGCGCCGCTCCAGGTGGCTGCATGTTGGAGCAGCTCTGTTACTTTCATTCTGAGATTTTGCTTTTGGAAACTTTAATTCCTCTTTTTCTGGATGTAAATCAGATTTTTTGGATGATTGTTTCCTCTGGTATCAGATGCTGTGCAGCTGGAAGGATTTTTACTGAAACTTTTTTTAGTTTTGGACATTTGTTATGATGCGTAACCATGGCAACAAGGCAGTTTTCTACAACTAACAGCAGCTGATTAACATCTCAAAAGCTCAAATAATATCTCAACTACAGCCCCAAATCTCAAATGAGTTGAAAAGGATGTTCTGTGGACGCATTCTCATCTACCTGCCAGTTGTACTCGAGTGCCTGACCACTGAGATCCTGGAACTAGCAGGAAACACGGCTCATGACAGCAGAAGGACAGGATCATCCCTCGGCACCTACAGTTGGATGTCCGCAGCGACGAGGAGCTCGGCAGACTGCTGGGAGGAGTGGCCATCGCTCTGGGAGGAGTTCTGCCCTGCATTCGTGCGGTCCTACAGCCAGGGGGAACCGAGAGGCCAGCCGAGTCTGGGTGGACGGATCAGACGGCATCTGCAGCCAGTTTCTTAGGATCCACTGTGGGATGGACCTTTAGAGATCCTTCCCGTCTACAGCATAAGTATCTTTAACATCTCTTAATGAAATGAGGATAAAAAGTTACTACAACAAATAATTTCCCTCTGGGATTAATAAAGTATATTTGAATTGAATTGAATTGAATTCTTTATTGTAATTCACACCACATGTGGTACATGTGGTGGAGCAAAGTTATGTACACAGGGTCCCAGTTACATCCAACAATAAAATGTAAAAGAAAAACAGTAATAACATCTAAGATATGAACTAAGAAAAACATCAACTAAAAATACACTAAGCACTCATAACATAAAAACAAACACAATATGCCGAACAGCAGCACGAACATTAGTTTCTGATTTTCTGCGTGCTGTTGAAGCTGACATCTGGATTTGTTTGCCTTTTTCACACATCTTGTTTTTTTTGTTTTTCATCAAATGTCTCAGCAACAACATTTAATCACTCCTTCACGAATGTCCCGTCACTAAATGTTTTTTTATGTTGCCCCAAAATCTACGATGCTGCCTGGCGCTATTGCATGACACCTGAAGTAGAACCTCCAAAACACACCTCCTGCTTCTCTGCTTGGCTCTGCACCTAAGCTGTTTATCACTGGAAAAATGCTCCATGAAAATCATCTATTTTCATGAATTTATTGGACACGGATCCAGATAGAACAATTGCTCGGTCCAGATCCAGACCCAGACCAGGTCCGCCTATTAGTGACCTCTGGGTAATAAAAAAAGAAAAACTATTCAATTCAATTCAAATTCAATTCAATTCAATTCAAAAATACTTTATTAATCCCAAAGGGAAATTATTTTGTTGTTGTAACTCGTTATTCTCATTTCATTAAGAGATGTTATAGATGCTGATGGCTGTAGACAGGAAGGATCTCTTGTAAAGGTCCATCCCACAGCGGATCCTAAGTAACTGGCTGCAGATGCCGTCCGATCCGTCCACCCAGACTCGGCTGGCTTCTCGGTTTGAGAAGGGGTTATTTAGTCGGTTCCCCCGGGATGTAGGACCGCCCGAATGCCGGGCAGAACTCCTCCCAGCGAGATGGCCACTCCTCCCAGCAGTCCGCCGAGCTCCTCGTCACTGCGGACAGCCAACTGTAGGTGCCGAGGGACGATCCTGTCCTTCCGCTGTCATGAGCCATGTTTCCATTTTTCCTGCTAGTTCCAGGATCTCAGTGGTCAGACACTCGAGCACAGCTGGCAGGTAGATGAGACTGCATCCACAGAACATCCTTTCAACTCATTTGAGATTTGGGGCTGTAGTTGAGATATTATTTGAACTTTTGAGATGTTAATCAGCTGCTGTTGGTTGTAGAAAACTGCCTTGTTGCCATAATTACGCATCATAACAAATGTCCAAAACTAAAAAAGTTTCAGTAAAATTTCTTCCAGCTGCACAGCATCCGTTACCAGAGGAAACAATCATCCAAAAAAATGTGCTTTACATCCAGAAAAACAGGAATTAAAGTTTCCAAAAGCAAAATCTTAGAATGAAAGTAACAGAGCTGCTCCAACATGCAGCCACCTTGAGCGGTGCAATTCTAGAACACATTAAGAGAGAGGAATTTTTTGTAACCCACAATAAGAATAAATCCACTGGTTGACTAGTTTTAGTGCTACTAGTTGACAAGTTAATTTTTTGTCATTAACTAGGCTGCACTTTTGATACTTACTCAATTCACACAAGTTGTGGCGACTACATGTAAGATTATTTGATGCTAGTAAACTTGTACCACACAGTTGACAGCTATTGTCGAGTGCTTGATTAGTGTGTTAAAAAGTAAACTTTGGAACTTCTGGACGACATCCCCAATAAAAAAAATAAATAAATAAATTGATTCAGTGTGCAAAATGTAAATAATAATATTAAAACCCAATTTTATATTCAGAATGAACCACAGTGAACAATTCAAATGTTGAAATTACACCATTAAAAAAAAGGTAATTTAAAATTTAATGGCGGGGCAGCACGGTGGCGCAACCGGTAGAGCCGCTGCCTCTCAGCGAGCAGGTCCCTGGTTCAAATCCCGGTCCGGGGGCCTTTCTGGGTGGAGTTTGCATGTTCTCTCCGTGCATGCGTGGGTTTTCTCCGGGTACTCCAGTTTCCTCCCACAGACCAAAAACATGCATGTTAGGCTGATTGGTAACTCTAAATTGTCCCTAGGTGTGAGTGAGAGAGTGAATGGTTACCTGCGACCTGTCCAGGGTGTACCCCGCCTCTCGCACAGTGATTGCTGGACATGGGCACCAGCGACCCCCGTGACCCAAAATGGAATAAACGGGTAAAGAAAATGGATGGATGAAAATTTAATGGCAGCAACATTTTTAAATGGTTGGGACAGGGGCAACAAAAGACTTTCAAAATAAACGATGCAAGAAATAAAAACTGGAGGAACATAAAAACAAAAAAGATTAATTAAGAACAGGTCAGTACATAAAGACCATTAAAAAGAGACTTTCAGAGGTAAAAGGTGGAGGCAGACTTGTACCAGTCTGCAATCTAAAAATAGTGGATCAATTGAAAAAAAATCATAAAATATAATATATAAATGGAAAGACTTTAAATGTCTTATTAAGTACAGTCATAATATCAATCAAATATTTTATTAATATGGAGACATCTCTGTGCACAGACAACCAGAATGAAAGTCAGTGGCCGTGATGTTCAGGCCCTCGGGGGCTACTATATTAAAAATCATTCTGATTCTATTCTAAACATCATGGACTCTGTCACAAATCATTGTCTGTAAACACAGGTCATGTGCTCATCCACAATACTGAACAACGCTCATGAAGAAGCCCCATCATTACTTCCAGTAATCCGGACTTCCGGTAAAATGGCGCCCGTGTACATGGCTTGCAATCCACCTCTGCTGATGGTGTTCGGATTATTTTTGTTTTTTGTATTCCTCATCAATGACATCAACTCTCTGCTGGTGTATGACAGACAACAACTTTTGGATCTTCGTTTTTCTGGCACTGATGTCGCTTATCTGGACCATTATCAGCGTACCTCTGGACCCCCCTCCTCCCCCACCCCTGCTGGCGGACGTGCCAGCTTACCTCCGCTGCTCCTCACCTGCCTGCCGGGAGATCTCGCTTCAGACGCCGGGGAAAACGTGCTGGTCAGCTGGTGAAGCTGAAAGTTCTGCGCGCTGCATCTTCCTCTTCAGCTGGCGGTCATGGTCTCCAGCTTCCTGTGTGCCCGGACCAGGTAACCAGAGGGAGTTGTCAGCCGGTGCGCAGCCCGGACCGACCTGGAGGGGCTGTTATTGAAAACCTGCGGCCATTAGCGCGCGCTAGCTCCACCGCTGCTGGCTCCACTTTGGACAATATTCGGATGTGTTTGGTCAACGCAAGATCTGTTACCAACAAAACTTTTATCCTCAGGGATTACTTTCAAGAGCACGATCTGGACTTTCTGTGCATCACAGAGACTTGGATGTCTCCGGGTGAGTCCAGCGCCTTGACAGAATTACTGCCACCAAACTGTTTGTATTTTAGCGGCCATCAGGCCGGCGGTGGTGGATTATTAACAATATTCAAATCAACTTTTGACTGTAAACAACTGCCCAGCCCAGTTTCCCGCGCCAGCTTTGAGCTGAGCGTCTTTGAACTCGGGACATTCACCTCCGACATTATTTGCACTCGTCTACCGTCCACCTCATCTAAGGATTTCATAAATGAGTTTTCTGACTTCTTGGCTGAAATCACACCAAAATATGAGCATGTTTTCATTATTGGTGACTTTAATTTGCACGTGTGCTGTCCTGAGAAGCCCTTGGTTAAGGACTTTTTAGATTTATTGGACTCATTTAATTTAACTCAGCATGTAAACGGTCCCACCCAAGAGCATGGACACACACTGGACCTTGTTTTAACTCATGATGTGACTGTTAATAATCTTGTTATTGGTGATAATGTTTTTTCAGACCACATGCCAGTCCGGTTTGAGTGCACCCTCCCCCATCTAACTCCTAAGCCGTGCATTCCTGCAGGTCGCACCCGGACCATTAACCACTTCACTGTCGCACGTTTCACTGATGTTTATAACTCTGAAATGATAATTCAGCCCCCAGTGTTTCTCACCACCACTGAGGAGCTGACATCCCAGTTCAACTCTGTCTGCTTAAAGACTCTGGATCATCTAAAAAAGTTAAATCTGGTCCTCTGGACATTCAAAAAAACAAAACAAAGCAAATCAACAAAAAATGTAGAAACGTTTCGTCTCTCATCCGAGA